AGCAGTGGATTACCCTATATATTTAGAGGGTAGGTTTCAAGGGAAAAAAGGAGGGTGCAGCAGTGGATTACCCTATATATTTAGAGGGTAGGTTTCAAAATATTTTTGGACGCGGGAGCCAGCCACAGTCTGATCAACCTTGCCAAGACAAAAAAAATGAAGTTACCCTTAGGTAGGTGTCTACCGGATATTGATGGCCGACTAGTCGACGGGATCCCATAAGCAAAAAAAGTCAGGGCGGACAAGATTAGGGTACGCTGTGGAGCTGAATTCATTTTTTCGATGGAAATGCTGGCAACAACACTTGACGGTTTCGACATGTTGCTGGGACGTGATTGGCTGCGACACTTCAACCCAAAAATTGACTGGACGTCCAGCAGCTGTTCTGTCAGAATCAACGCCCGTAGTGTGACGGTTCCAGAATCGACGAAGGGGATTACAGGGGGGGGGTGACGCAGGTGAACTCTTTGGCGATCAAATGAGCGGTCGCACGGGGCGTAAAAGTCTTCGCTGTAGTCTTTCGCGCCGTCGACGTGGCATTACAACCGTCTGATTTACTGCAGTCGCTGTAGACCTTGTCCAGTGGTGTGTAACGGTTAGGGTGGCGAGGAAGATCTAGGATTGGGCTGTGTGTGAGGGCAGCTTTGGGGCAGACTATGTAGGTGTGAGGGGCTTGGTTTTCTTGAAGTTCATGCCCGTCAGAGTCTAGGATTGCTCCAGGGGCGAAGACATTGGCCCCGAGTGAGTTGTTGAGAGTGACCCTAGAGGAGTGGCCAAGCCGCTGGTACCAGATGTCCCTGGAGGCGCGATGTCCTCGAGTGTGCTTATAGCGCTGGCGGGAATCATCAGGAGGAGGTGCTGGAGGTGTGACAGCGAACGCATGGGCTGTGATAGCGAGAGCGAGGAACTCGCGGTCTATGAGGTTTTTTTTTTTATTTCTCTATCTCAAGGAGAGCAGTTTGGTCCAACTGTGCTCTCGTCTAGAGCTTCAGGTTTTGTTGTTGGGCGAGGGTAGCTTCTCCAGAGGAATGTGTTTTCCTCATCAAGGATTTCATCGTACTCGGCCCAAGTTCCAAGGGCTTGAGGAGGGTGACCAAGGTGAAGGTACATGTGTGGTGCGATTCTCCACCTTTTGCCTTCATCGTCCCAATTGTCTCCTCCGCCATACCATTCCTCATGGTTGAGACGCCGACGTCCTGTAGCTGGGTTACAAACCCAGGGGAGCCTCAGGCCAGTGCCCCATTCTTCAGCAGTTGTTGCATTAGGCGAGGGCTGTTGGGGAGAGATGTCGCCCCCATCAGAGTCAATGTCTGTTACGGGGCCTCTTCCCCAGGTGCCTCTGCTAGGAGATGGACCCCAGCTACTTGGTGCTCGGAAGGGCGGTGCACCTATCCCGACTCTTGGTTCCGGTTCCGCTGCCGCCTCTGTTCCCTCTATTGTTTCCTCTGCTGCCCCCTCTGCTCCCTCGGCTGCTGCTGCTACAGTTGCTGGTGCTGCGGCTGCTCCCTCTGCTGCTGCTACTGCTGTTGCCTTTGCTGCTGCTGCTGCTGCTGCTGCCTCTGCTGCCTTTGCTCTGGCTACTACTGCTACTGCTTCTCGTGCTGCTGATGCTACAACCATGGTTGCTTCTGTTGCTTCAGTTGCTTCAGGGTACGTTGGTCCTTGTCGGACAACGATGGTTCTGAGAGAGATTGCCCATGCATCCATGCCGGATGCGAGTTTGGTGGCCATGTCTGCTGCTTCTCATGGTGTGGGCTCTCTCCAATTGGGGTTGAACGCGATGTGAGTGTAGAGCTCCCATGGGTTTGGTCGTCCCGTTTCGTCAAAGGAGCCTGGTCCCACATAGGCCACCTTCCAAGAGTTGCCTTGAGTCGTGGGAAAGGTCTAAGGTTCCTGGGGGAGGGACGATGGTGACGGCTGTGACAAGTTCTGAGGTTGTCATGTTGACCTCTAGAATGCAGAAGGACTCCATCTCTCTTCCTCAAGAGTTTCGAGTCCTGTGCCAGCGATGTTGCTGGAGGAGGCTGTCGGAGTTCGACAAGTACGGCAGATGCCGTCTGGTCCAGGGTCGTGCAGATCGGTCTCAGATGGGTGCATGTGGTGAGTGATCCACAGGCGGCCGTCAGGGTGAGTCCACTCCTTTTCTTCTTGATAGGCGAAGTTAAGGGGGACTAGGTCAATCAACTTGTGGAGGTCACCATTGCAGTTGGGGATGTCCAAATCTAGGACGTAGATTCCGTCGACTGTTACTGCCCTGCCGATGTACCGAGTTGGGTTCACTGGTTCCTTGGGCTGACTCGGCTTGCGGTAGTGTAGCAGAAGGTGCCGTGTCTGTGGGTCGGTACTGATTTCAACACCGCGGGACATCAGTTAGGCCATCAAGAGGAGGTTGTAGCATTGGTTCTGAACGATGAGCACGTCGTTCAGAGTGATCTGTGTCAGGGTGTTGCGTGCTTGGAGGATGACTATTCCCTGGTGTTTGGCAACCAGCCTTTTGTTGTTGGCTACGGTGACATAGGCTGCAGCGGGAGTCGGGATGACATTGGAGATGAAGCGTGCTATTCCGACCATGTGCTGTCCGCAGCAACTGTCCAGGTTCCAGGTGTTGTAGTTGTCACGGTTGTTGCGCGCGTTCATCGCGATCCTCGGAGTCAGCAGGTGAGGTCAGTTTGACTTGTGCATGAGATGGTCCCTTGGGAAGCTGTCCTAGTCTTGTCTGTCCCCTCCGCACGTCGTGTCGGTGATGTAGGGAATCGACTCCAGCAGGGGAATGGGTAGATTCCCTTCCAGCTCCTCCTCATCGATCTCTTACCTGAAGTGCTCGTTGTTGTAGTTGTAGGCTGTTATAGCCGGAGCGAAGTCTCCTTGACTTGGGCGTGGTTGCGGCATGCGGCGACGTCGATTCGCTTGTCGTATCGGCCCCTGAGTTCGCATCGCCATGAAGACTTGGCGATGGGTAGGTTGACCATGTGAGCTTGGCTGAGTCGGAAGAGGGTCCGATGGTGCAGGATGGTGCGGGACTGGTCGTTGGTCCGTGTGGGATGGGCGACTGGTCTGGCGTGGGTTCTAGGGGGAAGCGTTGATGGGTCTCCTCTGGTGGGAGTGACCCCATTGACTCCCACTTGGGTTAGGCGTGTAGGAAGGTCTTGCGCTGCTTCCTGCTCGGTTTTGGCAGCGTTCAGTAGAGTGTCAGAAGGTTTTGCAGTGTTTGCAAAAATAGCTTCGACTGCGCGAATCGCAGCGAGGCTCCTTCTGGCCCAAGTAAAAGGCTAGCCTTTCTTTGCGCTGGGCTCTCTCCTTGTAGAGGTCCATATCCTGCTGCTCAGCCAGCAGCGTTGCGTAAAGGGTCGCTTAGGAAATTTCGCCCTGCTGGCGTAGTAGAGCCTTGCATGGTCCCCATTCAGGGGTAAGTCCAGTGAGCACGATCGTCACGAACATGTCTTCTGTGATTGTGTTCCCGAGCTTGACGATCTGGTCGCGGATGCTTCGGCGGCGATTGATGTAAGTGATGGCCTTCTCTCCTGTGGCCAACTTCACTTCTAGCAGTTGGCCGAGTAGTCGACTCGAAGACACGGAGTCCTTCGGCCGGTAGCGGTTTGTCAAGTACAACCAGACGTCTTGTGCTGGAGCGGCGCGTGTTTTGAACGATCGAATTCCGATTTGCTCGGAAGCGGATAAGTTCCGCAGAAGAACGCTGTACGTCATGAGCGATTCATTGTAGTATCGTTGTTTTGCATCTACGATGTCGATCGTCGATCCGGGTTAAGATCCGTCGAAGTAGCAGAAGATTTGAGCGCTCTATAGTAGTAGCTTGAACTCAAAAATCTAGGTGTAGAAATCGCGACCGTCAAAGTTTGAGCTTGTTCTGATATTAGAAGCAGCGAAGACCTTGGATTGTGCTGTCTGCAAAGGCTTCGTCACTTAATCGTATGCTTGCAGGTTGTTGCGTATTGGAAGCATAGAAGTTGAAGAAGCAAGGAGTGGAGTCCTTGTCTGCAGAGGTAGGTTGCGTTTCAGTGGTTTGGTGAGCGGTGCTCGATCCGTCGATCTTGAGAGATTGAAGTCCATCTTCCTGAGTTGTCATTCGTTGGAGTGATTTTCTGAGTCCTGTGGGGACGGATGTCATTGCGCTGGATTCGGAGTGTTTGCAGGTTCTTTAGGAGGAGGGCTTCCTTGCCCTCGTGATCTCGAGCCTGGGGGCATTCTGTGGCAGGAGAAAGTCATTGGCACCACGATATTTGAATTTGAAACTGATCAAGAGTGTCGAGTGTAAAATCCTGATAGGCTCTGTTTACCATGAAACGATCCAAGCTGGTCCGTAGAATCTTTAGGATCGAACTGCAGTAGTGCGCTTTGCGGAAGCAATTGATTGGTCGATGAACCCTGTTAGAGTGAATGTAACTTGTCAGTCTTGATTATAGCAAAGGGTTGCAGGGTTCAGATAGTGATACAAGAGAATGCCAAGGGTCTAGCTAAGATGCAGTTAACTGGTGTACATTCCCTTAGAGGTTCTAGACCCGACTCTAGTAACTGTACACGACTCGGGTAATTGCCTGCGCTGTTTTACAGACAGGGTCAGTTATGTATCCTTGCTGTCGTGACGGACCCTTGTACTTCTGTCGGTTCGACTGTTGGTCAACGGTCAACGACCGTTGCACTTCGTGCATCGCGTCATAAGCTTGGACTCGACAAGGGTTACGGCTCGAGTGTCACTTTCTGGAATGTAACAAATTCCTTATCGTAACACTTCTCAACATCGCACTCATACTATAACACCTCATTTACCTCGATTTTACTCACTTGTGGTGCGTATAATAAACCTTTGCTTTTCTCTTCAGCACTTCAGCCGAATGACTGGTTATAAGTGATTACCATTCTTGTTCTCATGCTGTTGTTACCATTACGCCCCCAACATGCGTTTCTATGGCTGAAGCAATCTTTTGTCAATGGAAATGGGATGACGGCTGGCAATAAGCCCGATTCAGTAGGATGAGTCACATTATGAAAAAAAAAAAAAAAAAAAAAAAAAAAAAAAAAAAAAAAAAAAAAAAAAAACGACAATGGGGCTGGTGCACATTATTCCTCCACCCACATTTTTTTCATTTTCATCGTTCAAGTTCCATTGAGTTCCCGTGCCGATATTTTTTCCTTTTGCTGTGCCACTATGGCAAAGTTAAAAACGCTTCTTCGCAGGCAAGCCCCTTCCACCCTCCTCTCTGACATTCTAAAGCACAACAAAAAAACCATGGCACCCAAAATCCCGGCCACCTGAGCTGAGCATTCATTGGCCAATGCTTCAAATGATTCGAAACCCGACAAGCACGCCTGTGAAATTGCGGACGATCGTGACAACATGCACCATGAAAATGAGGGTGACCTCGTCCCCTTTGCTCCTGACCTGCTGCTGTATAGTGGCGAGGTCAATCCAGTCGACCCTGTTGAGCCACGCGCCCCCGAGTAGCAAGACACGCAAGTGGTGGCTGGCGCGCCACATGCTTAGGAAGCGCTGACGAGAAGGGAGGACCTTGCACGTCAGGACAAGCAAGGCCAAGGGGTGGCCTCGTCACGGGGCTGTTGAGGCACCCACACACACTAGTTTTCCGCACCCATCGAGCACCTCTCTTCCTTCCTCTAACCCCTCTATCCTGACATCTTCATTTGGTAACGTTGGGGTACGTAAATAAGCACGTACTGTATCTAATGCATGCAGAGGACAAAGAGCGCCACGTCGACGCATTGAGCGTGCCCGAATACTTCGATGAGTCATACACGCTCCTCACCAAATGCTCCGAGCCCCTTCAAAGAGATTTACCAAAGCATCTGAATTTAAGACAGTGCACCGGTTCAAGCTCTACCGGCCAAAGAGTGTCCTCATATCCCTCCCTTTGAAACAAGCGGTTGCCGATGTGGCGACGATGAAACTCGAGCAAGGCTCCAATGGCTGCAGCAACCCCGCGTAGGCCGTGGTCCTATGGAATTCGGATAAAAGTATGCCCCCCCACCAAGCGGCAACCAGAGGGGCTTCTTAGGCTCCTGGTTTCACAGTGGCCAACCAGCCCTCATGATGAACGCTTGCTCTTCTAGCGGGCGTGGTCTCCAAGGCCCACACGCGTTGTATGAGAAGCGAGATGATTTTTTTTTTATACCTTGGATCACGTGCCACCGCACTCTGTGGTGCTTAGGGCCATTGGCCATCCCCAAGGTGGTGAGTAGAGTGCAAGGCCGCTGGCCAAGCCCCAAGGTGGGGAAGAATGCAGGCCAAGGGTCAAGCCCCGAGGGGGGCCTTGAGGTGCTTACTTAAAACCTTAGCAGTGAACCTTAGCGGTAACGGTTCTCCTCTTTTGTTGTGAAAAAAACCCTAATGGGGAGAGGTCATGACTAGAGAGGCACAATTCTAGATGCTCACACGGTGGACACACCAAGCTATGCTGATTTTTTTTAGCAGCAATTTTTTCGCACCCAGTTGTTTTCCAGGGACGTCCGGTCCTTCCAGGATACCAAAAACTCGATCAGGCGAGCTCCTCGAGGGTCCTTGATCAGATGGCTACGAATCTTCGCAGGTTAGATGGTCGATTTGATGAGTGGTTGGATGTTCAGGTTTGCTTGGGAACGTGGTAACTTGCTGGTGCTGACGATGTAGGGTCGCAACAGCTGCACGTGTAAGGATGGGCTTACATTCCAGGTGGCAGATAACAGTAATTGGGCTATAACGGTGGATATCATGTGGCTGATTGTAAAGGGTCCACAGTAGCGGGTGCGGATTTTTGGTGAGATGGGCAACCCAAGGTTCTAGGGTGTCGAGCAGTACTAAGTCTCTGGCTTGGTAAGTCACGGCCCGGCGGTGTAAGTCCGCATTACGCTTAGAAATAACATTCCCACGCTTAATGGCTTAAGATGCTCACTCGCAGGCATTCTGTAAAAATTCCGCAAACTGTTGGGCTCGTGGAACAGGATTATCGACATAAGGGGTAATGGATACTGTAGGGCTCTGTCCGTGGTTCACGTAAAATGAGGACTGTCGGGTAGTGGCTGACAGGGTGCTATTGTACGCGAACTCAATCAGTGCCGGTTGTTGTTCCCAGTCAGCCACAACATCACAGGTGGCACGGATCAACTGCTCCATTGTCTGATTGGCCCATTCCATCTGTCCATCGGTTTTGGGGTGATAGGCGGAGGAAAACTATAGGCGTGTGCCAAATTGGTCCCACAGATTTCGGCAGAATTTGCAAGAAAATTTCGTGTCACGATCGAAAATGATGGCGGATGGAATGCCGTGGAGCTGAACGACGGTTGAGAAGAAGAGGCGGGCTGTTTCTTCGGATGAGATGCTTTTCTTACAGGCGGCAAAATGGGCCATCTTACTCTGCTTGTCGACAACGACAAATATCACATCATTGCATCAGAAAATTGTATCACGATCAGAAATGATGGCGGATGGAATTCCGTGGAGGCAAACGACGGTTGAGATGAAGGCAGGCTGTTTCTTCGGCTAAGATGATTTTCTTGCAGGGGGCAAAGTGGGCCATCATCGTCAACTTATCAACGACGACAAATATTGTGTCATTACAACCGTCCTTGTTCGGCAATTTCGTGACGAAGTCCATCATCACCTTCTGCCATGCATGCTCGACCAGTGGAATCAGTTACAACTGCCCAGCTGGCTTCGACTTCTATGACTTCATGGTTTGGGATGTTTTGCACGAAACCACATGCCACTCCACGTCCCCTTGCATGTTGGGCCGTAAATAATATCAAGTCAATTGCTATCGTGGGCTTCTTGTAGTAATAGCTCCCGTGTTAAACCGTACTCTGGTATCCAGATACGGTCAGTCCCTGTCGTTACATTTCCCTTAGACGTTGCGAGCTGTTCGTACGCGCTTGATGTAAAGAATCTGCCAGTGGGTAAATAGGCCTGCTAATAGCCGGGAGGTTTGGGCGAGGATGATTAAATTGAGATGGGCGGATGGGCGAGAAAGGGGATTTGCGATGTTGGATGCCCCTTTTTGTAGGCGACAGTGTAGTGGGAATTGTATTCCATAACATCCAACCACCGAATCTATTGCGGGTTGAGTAGTGGCTGTGCACGAATATATGTAGGTTGCGATGTTATGTCCGCACTGTCACGTCTGCCCCTGTCGGGTAGCACTGCCACACTTTGAAAGCATGTACCATCGTAATCATCCACGTCTCCTGTATCGGATAGTTTCGTTTGGGCGGGTGTAACTTTTGTGACTCGTACACGATTGGCTGTAGGCCGTCGCCAAAATCATGTAACAGTACTGCCCCGATGGCAATGACGCTAGTGTCAGTGTTGACTTCGAACGGACAGTGAGGATCGGCGATGCGAAGGACAAGGGCTGAGCACAAAAAGGTTTCGAACACGGAGAAGGCAGCTTGCTCTTTCTCCCCCCACCTGTACTCAGTCCCTTTCCATAGCAAGTCGGTCAACTGTTCAGTTTTCCCCGCCATATTCGAGATAAACCTCCGAACGTAATTCATGAACCCTAAAAAACATTGCAGTTCCTGCAAGTTCGACGGTGATAGCTAGACTTGCAATGTCTCTGTGAGAGTATGGCCCTGTTACACTTCTTTCTCATTTTTATGTTCTTCTCTATCTCATTCTCCTTTTTATCTTTATTCATATGGTCTTTATCTCATCTCATTTGGTTTCCTATTCCTCATTTTCCGTTATGCTTTGGTTCATCCTATTATTATAGTTCTATCACCGACCATGCTCAGGATGTACGGGCGCGCTATATCTAGCGTAATCATGCCGTAATCCCTTAAAGACGGGGTCTACATCATTGGGGGTCCTTGGGGTAGGATTATGATGCATGGGGGCTTGGGTTGCGTGATTGGCTGATGAGAGAGGCGAGGGGGGAAAGTAGCGACGGAAAAAGCGATCGTCGCAAAAGTTGTGACGGGGGGAAAAGCGGGTGGTTGAGGGGAGGAATCGAGATTGAGGGAAGGGAGGAATCAAAAGTGCATGGGGGAAGGGGAATGGAATTTGGAGGGGGAGGGGGAAATCGAAACAGAGGGGGAGGGGGAATCGAAATTGTGAGGGAGGGGGAATCGACTTTTTGTGGGGGGGCGGGGGCGGGGAGGGTGGGCTGTATCGGAAACGAAATCGGGGAGGGGGGGAATCGAAATTGGGTGAAGGGCGGAATCAAAATCGGGGGGGCACGCGGCGGAAATTGAAAGGGGGGGCCAGGGGGGAATCGACAAGTGGGGTGTGGCGGATTTGAAATTGGGGAGTGCCACCAGCTTTGGGGAGGTGGGAGGATGGGGCGTGCAAAATCTGTCAATAATTGTTGCTGAGGGGTTTTGCAAATGTTTTGAAAGGGGTGGCGAGCTAGCGGAACTCCAGCTCAGAACATCATGTCACCAATTTTCAAATGTTTTGAATTTGAAACTCGAAACCACAAATGTAGGCACGGGCTTTAAAGCCAATAGGCTCGCATGGCTATACGCGGGGTGATTCTATTTATAGAAGGGCATATTCCCTTCGGAAAGGATAAACCTGGTTACCTGATGTACTTTGGAAGTATAAAGGTGCCTTGTATCCATCGATAGTGCAACTTCTCTTGACCAATTCGATCATATGACAGTCTCGATCTTACGCGGGTTCACTTCCACGCTTGTAGGGAATTTTGTGACAAAAAAAACTCCAACCTATCTTTAAAAACTCACACTTAGATCCCTTTGTGAGCAGTCGATGCTCCTACTGTAGCGTGAAATTACTTTGAAATCCTTTAAATGATGCTCCTGGATCTCCCTGTAAATCATGATGTCATCTAGGTAAATTATAACACACTTATCTACGAGCGAACTGAAAATCTGGCTCATGGTTATCCGAAAAAGCGTCGAGGCGTTCGTGAGTCCGGAGGGCATAACTACATACTCGTAACTCCCGTACCTACAGTTATACGAAACGCGGTCTTGTGACACTCGCCAGCTGCTACGCGAATCTGGTGGTAACCCCCTCGTAAATCTATCGTCGAGAAGAATCTAGCTGTGCGAAGTTGGGCGATCAGTTCGTCAGCGCGAGGGATGGGGTAATCGTTGC